TTAGAGAGGAAAATCCTCCTTTTTCCGTTACCTTGAAAATAACCTATTGGCTAGGAAATGTAGTAGACTGGACATTCATACCTTATGCCCATTAATATTTTAAATTTCTGCAATACTTTTATTATCTTTGCGTGATTTATTAATAAGATTCACATGTAACAGAAATACCGGCGGTAAGAGAGTGATTACTTAAATTTTGGAATTCCACAAAATAAGTTGACATATAATTGTCTAACATTTAAAGAGTTTACACAAGTTTGTCGACTGAGTTGGTGAAAATTGGGGATTAGTAGAAGCATAAGTTAAAGTTGGATGACATGAAATGTAGCTGAATGAAAAAAACAAATGATGATGACACTGTAGTGACTTACTTGTATCACGAGAACACGACTGATTTAATGAAAACAATTATTATTACAACCAACTGTACCAGTGCTTGTTTAACTGTGCTAATTGCAGCCATTTTGTGCTTCCATCATTGTTCCGCGGCTTTTGGCTTTGTTCGCACGTACTCCGTCCCCCCTGCTTTCGCTTGTACCATTCTTGGTATTCGTTCGATACTACGAGATCGCCAATTTAATAAACTTGATTCCAATCCGCTTTCTGAATTATTTGGCACGTGTTTCTTGGTAGCAGTGTTCATAGTCAACTGGGACCCGACGCCACGCTACAGCACTTTGTTAAAGTGTTTGTGAAATGAATTTTTAAGAAATCTTCTAGCTTCGTAGCGAGGAGAATTTTAGGGCCTAAACCGAATTAACTACTAAGTTTTTATTCCGTAACATCTATATAGACCGAGATTACTCTTCTAAATACGTCCTCTGAAAGGTGTACAATCATACATCCAGTCAGCCGCTTAAAGGACTTGCACATTTAAAGGCAACGTTAAATTAACATCGTCCTGATGACAGAAAGCTTGCATTTTCGTAATGAATTCGAGACGAAAAACTGAAAATACAGGAAATTTGCGGAACCATGCGATGACATGACCTAAATGTTACTGACATCCTATTTAATCACACCTGCAGTTTACCAAACGACAGTTCATGAAGTAAAGAACCTAAAATATGTTATTAATATTATTGTCATTATCGGTAATGATATTATCAATATTTACAAATTCTTAAGTGCATAATTTTTTAGAAAGATGAGAATTCAATCACAATTTTGAATTTTGTAAATATTAGTTTTTCTCATGAGCAGAACGGTTATATTTGTGTACGTTCACATGTTTTACAAATCTGAATTTACTAATTGTTGTCATAGGAACAACGTAGAAATAGAACGTCGTCAGACAATGTAAATATTCTAAGTGAATAATACTGATCTGGATACCGATATTTTACATTATAATCAATTTATTGTTAGTATAAGATATAAGAAACTATGCGGCACTGCCCAACGCTTTAATGACTTATTCAAGCTTTTATTCCTCTCGAATTCACCGGTCACAATAATGCAATAAAGGGATATAACTCAAAATTCCCATAATTAGAGGAATCATAAACGAAGCACTCTAAATTAGCAATTTCTTCCTTTAAAACATGTTTTTCAATAGCAATAAAAATGAATAACTATCCTACGATAATCTTCAAAGTTATGGATTTTAAGGATCTAAGAGTGTGGATGGTAGAGTTTACTTTACTTGCTCGACTCTCTCAATGGTCGTGAAATCTTGTCTCCCAGAATCAAACATGATGCAGCTCAATTAGTATTTGTGGGTCTTGCCAGGTATATTTACCTTAAAGACCACTTGAAGACCCTTTCCTACAATACTAACGTGATGGAACGATTCAGTTTATCAGGAAATGTAGTCGGATGTGCCCATTGCTGACTGAGATCACAATCTTGTATGAAAAGTTACTTTTTCTCTAACCGTGTACCTCAAGTTTCTAAATTATTAGTCCTTAACCCTGTTAGACATAAGATCATATTCTATTACCATTCTCTCATCAGAATGAGTTTAACTGATGAATATGCCCAGTACGAAATCTTTGGCAGAACCGAGAGTAATACTGTCAGGACAGATTTTAAAAGTGTCCTGAGGAAGCGGACACAGCTTAATCAAGGTGAATAGATGGTGAAATCATTTATTATCAAAAAATCTGTAGAAAAACAACTAATGTCAATCATACATTTAAATTGATGGATATAAGCTGTTGTCGAAATCTTTAGCTTACATACAACATTGAGATCTAGTTTGGTGTCATTTTTGCATATATTTCTTTTATTTAGAAAGGAAAACATAAGGCAGTCAGTGCTTTCGTAACGTAGAAATTCATTATTGGCCAGTTTAACCGTATTTCTTTTCATTTAGTCTTTAATGCCTGTTTTTAGTTCCTCCCAATTTGTGGAAATGTACTGTTAACTATCTTACATGAAAAATATAAGAATACTTCAAAGGTCAGACTCCAAACAAGTTAAGGTATCCAAATTAAAGACCTAATTAAAGGTTCCTAAATCATTTTACGCCTTATTAATAGAGCTTTTCAGAAGTGAAACACTGGTGAAAATAACGTCATCTATAATCCTGTGTATGCCCCTAAATATATAATATAGCTCAATCTCGATGCATTGATTTAATGCTGAATTCGGAAACAATGGACTTGGGAAATATCATTTAATCTTCACGTGCAGAAAGATTCTAAATCTGACTGCAGACTGAGGTAGTCAAAATTACGTACCAAGAGTTCTTCAAAAAAATGACTGAAACGTTTAGAAAAGTTTTGAACGGAATAAAAGAAACTTGCGCTTAACAGAATTCCGTGTCTAGTAGCAGTGGATCGCTGATACCTTCAGGTAGAAACCTAGGTAATTTTATCGATTAAAGAAGAAACGGATGACAAAACTGGCAAATCATAGTAAGATGCTATCTCCAATCCTTAAGAATATATCTAGTTCTTTCTCAAAGGACTCCTGGGAAGTCTCTTGGTCATGATCAGTCGACGGTGAATTCCAGCAATTGACTGCTCTTAAGGAGTAGAAAGTATGCCTACAGTGTTATGCTGTGTTGTCTCCGGTTTCTGGGTGTTTTCTTTTGGGTTTGTGCTTGGACTAAGCTTAGGTAGGTGTTTACGGGGATATGCAGAAGTATTTAGGATTCTGTAAGCCATTAGAAGGTCACCTCTAAGACGCTTGTGCTCTATTAGGTAAAGGTTCAGTGATAGGAGGCGCTCTTCATAAGGTTTGAATTTGAGTCCCCGAACTGATTTCGTAGCTCACTGTTGGATACGTCCCAGTGTCTTTATCCTTTAGGAGTGAGGGAAGAAATGTTATGTTTTCGTACTGTAAATGGGGGCGAATAAAAGTGTTGGTGATTATGTGGAAAGTTTTCCTATCGAACTGGCCGAAAATGCACTCCAAAGTTACTGGTGGGAAGTTTGCACGGGAGGCTTTTTGTGGCAGTTGGAGTAGGACTTCGATTCGTAGAATACCAACACTTCCATACCTTTTCCAACTTGGTGTACTTCTAGGGGGGAGTTGCCTAAGTTGTAGTTGTGTTCTGTAACATGTCTCAGATGGATCACTCTCCATTCAATCTTAAGGACTCATAACACCACTTCACTATAATTCACCAATATTTCCTTCCCTACCTGAAACTATCGGTGAGTCACGGGAAGTAGATACGAAGCCCGCTGACTACTGATACGTTTCCAGTAGAAAAACCACTCGAGAGGACTTCAACTCATTATGCAACATGGTAGACTCACAAAATTCAATCGAACATTTTCGTGGTCTAAACCATTAATCTATGGAGCTAACTTCTGGCAGCTTTACTGATGATACACGTTACTTAATATTTTGGAGGTCTCGACCCATACTTTCGGTTTATATTTTGTAAGATTGGATAAGTAGCTTTCTCCATGACAGGAGACAAAGGGTAAGGGTTAATGGGGCTCTCTCCTCGTGGGTACCTGTAAAAAGTGGGGTTCCTCAAGGTACAATCCTAGGTCCTCTTCTCTTTTTACTTTATGTAAATGAATCGCCAACTGTGGCTAAATCATCCGTTCTAATCTTCGCTGATGACATAAAGATATGGAGACCCATACATAGTCTGTCAGATAGAATAATATTACAGGACGATCTTAGGTCATTGTTGGCATGGTTGGACAGGTGGTCACTAGAAGTACATACTAATTAAAGTGTAGTTATGCAAATAAATAACTATGATGAATCGTGTCACAACACAATATGTGATTTCGTGCTACACAAAGTAAGAAACTATAAAGATTTAGGAGTCATATAAAGCATGATCTCAAAGTCACTAGTCACTGTATGGCTGCTGCTGCGGAAGGCTAAAAGGTATTAAGGTTTGTTCTTAGGTCTTTCCAGTATTTAGATGACGGACTGTTTAGATTATTATACCCGACTTCCGTGCGACCATATTTGGAACATGGGATTCAAGCAACCATTCCTTGTTTCAAGTATGAAGCAGATGTTCTGGAACGAGGTACTAAGATGACACAGGGTGTATCTGGCATATCTTATGAAGACAGGCTGAGACTACTTAACTTATTTCCGTTATCTTATCGTAGAATAAGGGGTGATCTAATATTGGCTTATCGTATACTGAATGATGACCTTGGTATTAATATGTCTTATCTTTTGCTTCCGTCTAGAACCGATCGTTCGAGAAGACATTCGAAGAAAGTTCAAAAACCGAGATCAAACCTTTTACATCTGGAGTTCCGTTTCTCACACCGAGTAGTGAATTACTGGAATTCTCTACCGGAACACGTAATATCAGCACCGTCTGTTAATATATTCAAAACGAGGTCGGACCTCCACAGTATTACAAACTGCAAGGACTAATATAGGTCGATATACCTCCTATCCTTATTACTGAACACTGAAGACTGAATTACTCAGAATGTTACACATTAATCTCGTCTATTGCCAACTAAATTGTGTTAATCTTTAGTTCTTAGCAGGAAAATATCAAAAATGACTCTAACCACTCAGAAACAGATCATGAAGAATGAATGGTATACTGATTCTTTCAACTATAGTGTTGTTATTGGATTTCAGGATGATGCTGATACGAACTTTGAAAATTACGTTACCGTCCTTGGGATGACGTCTGGAACTGTTAGTATCAACGAGCTGACTATCCCACAGCTTCAAGATCTTGTACGGCAATTTGAGCAAAAAATTCAGTTTATATCTGCTTCTATACAACAACTCAAGTCTCTCCAGGCTCAGTTTGTTGCCTCCAAAAGTTGTCTGGGCGAGCTTACCACAGAAAAAGAAAATAAAGATATTCTTGTCCCTTTAACTTCAACCTTGTGTGTTCCTGGGAAACTTTCTGATCCTTCACATGTGCTTGTAGATATTGGTACTGGTTACTATGTTGAAATGGTTTGTTGAATCTATAGGTGAAACTTTACATAATTATTGCAGACCGTTCCAGAAGCTGAAAGTCACTTTTCCCGTCGAGTAGAATATATCAATAAACAAATAAGGAAGATTTTGCCTGTTCTGGAGGAGAAAACACAGGCACATAAATCTATTTCAGACGTTCTGGATGCTAAAATTCAAGAGTTTATCAAAGTCCGGTCAGCGGCGTGTTCTTGAATATTTGACGTATGCTTTCAGGTTCCTTTTTTAAGGATCCATTCGCCTTACTGGTTTCTTGTATTTACAATGAACATTCATGCCTAGTTGTGTATTCTGTTATTGAAAACTCAGAATGTGTTTTTTGGTCCGGGACATTGTGTCTCCCAACAATGTCAATATGTGAAAAACCAAAAATCTTGTAAATACATGTTCTGGTGTTCTGCCTAATATGGTTTTTGTGCTAACTACCAATATGTTGGCTGAAGGCTTTTGAACGATCTTAGTTTAATCCCTGAGTAGAGTGTGTATAAATTGGATACTGGTAAAGTTAATTATGTCCATTAGAAGTGTTCTAAGTGAGTATATTGCGCTAAATCATGCGCCTACGTGTCATATCTCTTGGAAGACTCCATGTATGATTGCTCACTAGTTTCAGTTTCTACAATGTTCACTTTATGAAAACCTAAGATCCTTTTTTTCTCAGTGTCTGGTACATATGTAAATATTAGTAATCAGAATTGATAGCTCTATGCATGTCTTCATACTTTTCTAACGAAATACAAACCTAAAATTTATTCGGAATGGGTTTTAATTCGGACTCACGATTATTTCGTTGTCTTGACCCAAAATAATTCTGGTTATATATGTTCCCAACTCCAACTTATTTAAGTGTGTTTTTTCGACTTTTCAACGCGTTTCATATATATTATATTGTTTGAGGATTCAAAATGTCAAATATTATCTAGGTAATCCGAACGTAATTGAGCACAAATGCCTTTTTCAAGTACTTGAGCTTTCTCAAAAAACAATCATCCGTGGAGTTTTTCACACTAGCTACGTAGAACATTGACTTTCAGGTTAGGCTTTATCTGTTTTGCTTACTCTCAAACTGTGGTAAGTTGTTAGCAATAAGTTTAAGTCTTTTTTGAATACTTTATTTGTGTGCTGTGGATCTAAATGTATGCATAGCAGATCATTTACGACTAACGTATACGTCTTTGTGATTAATTTCATCAGAGCGGATCCATGCAAAGCGAACACTCAGGTTACATCAGACAATTAGCCATCTTGTTTGGTGTATGAGACATTCCCACAGTTAAAAGTACGAACTAACCCTTAAATATCCGGCTCGTTAAAGTAGTAATAGCCAAAGTTTTTCTGAGGAATGCAGGTTCTTCAATGCATTTAGTACTCCGTATCTTATGCATTCGGTGACATAAAAAGTGAATAAGATTCCTCCATTTAATGTAACCCAGCTATGAAAGTTGTTCAGCTGGCAGTTCCATGTTTGTTTCCTGTAGATTGACCTTTTTAAGGAGTCACCACTCTTCGTTGTCGTACATACGACAAGAAAAAAGATTGAATGACCTAGCTCATCTTCTAACATGAAATATATTAAAGGATAGCATGTGTAAATGGAATTTATATTATCTACTAATTCAACATTTTCGTCACGAATGACCATTGTGTGGTCTATGTATCTTTATGCATAAATTAAACTAATTAGTGGTCAAACTGTGTTGGTTGCTTTCCAGCTTTGACATAAAAACGTCTATAATTCTGAATGGTTAAAAGTTAGCGATAAATTAGTTGCAAATCGAGATCATTCCATTGTACAATGCGGTGATTTTACCATTCGGTTTATCGAAAATAATTTCCTACATAGTAGTAGAAGTGTTGAAATGTTTCAACTATACAAGTCTTATCTACTTTTTCATGTACTTATTGACTTTTATTAGCTGTAAGCGATTCAATCTCAGGATAGGGAACCCGCCATAGAAAATTTCGGGGAAATGACACTAAACCTTAGATTTTCCACAAGTTTGCGTAAATTCCCAATAATCTTAAAACACTTGAGAAAACCGGTATGCGTTCTGTGGCCAAACAATTTTTTTCGCATTTTCGGGACATTTCGCGAACCCCAAAATTACTGATTGTACAGAAAAGTCTATCGACTTCATAACAAGTATCTAAAACTTCGTATCAATTCAATTATTTTGCTTCAGTCAACTTCGCAAAGTGAAAGCAGTTCCAAAGCAATTGAATGACTATTTGTAACAAGAACCAGTCTGTCACGATAGATACGTACTGTCGTTGTTAAAAGACTGATGCGTTATAAATAAAATTAAAATTTAAAGGAGTGCAAGTCGTCCATTAGTAATTAACGTCTTTGGATTCTGAATAACGGTTATAGCTTTCCTGTTTCGTACATCAAATTAATGTTAAAATTTCATTCGCAGTATTCTAACAAATAGAAACAAAGATACCTTTCTGCCCAAACTCTTTATTTCCGGATTATTTCCAAATGCAATGATAAGTCGCAGCTTTCTCCAAAGTTTCAAGAGATTTTGAGGGAAAAACCGCAGACGAATGGTCGTGTTTATAATTTTCTCAATGTTTGGGTAAAATCAGTGTCGCGTAGTTTTCAGAACAAACATTTAATAATCAGTGTACTGTTTAAGCCTCTTACGACGAAATTACAATCAATCACAACAATTATTTTTATTATTATAATGAAGTTCAGTTAGCATAACAATGCTAACTTTTAGATCTTGTTTTAGTAAGTCAAATAGACACGAGACAAAAAGGCATCGGTCCCACATCCCTTTTTCAAGTCTGACGCCATGCAGGTGAGCTGTTTATACTGCCAGATTTTGATTACTGCTTCTGTCCATCCTGACTACAGTTAATTGTTTCTTTTAGACTAATTATGTAGAAAGTAATAAAAGGGATGAGACGGACGACAGCCAACAGACTGTCAAACTTGATGAACTGCCCTCAATCGGCCTTTTACAGAAGACTGAGTAAGTTAAGAGCCGAGTTTTAGAAATATCAGTTAACAACCATTAACAATGAAATATGCAGTTCATTCGATGTAGAAGAAGTAGGAAACGCTGTAGCTACAGAGCAGTTTAACATTATTGTACAAAAATCGGCTATTGTCACTTTTAGTTACGTTTCTGGACACAGGAGTGTACTGTTCTGTTGAACTGAAATCAAATTTGCTGAGGACTTGCGATATTCGGCTATGCAAAATCAATCTGAGGGAACTGAAAATGCAACTCAACTATGACGGCCGATATTTGTTAAAAAGCTCTAACCAACAGTTGCGGCCAATCCTAGTGAACTATCCATAGTTGGTATCTATGGTGGTGGAAGTAAAATCATCCGATTTCAACGAAGTGTAACCGATTTACAAGGGTTGCTGACAGTAAGCCTTCATTTACATAAGTACCTTTTATTTGTGACACTCCAGCTCGTAGCAACATCTGGTATGTCGTTGGACACGATGGTACAGCTGGTTGTGACATGTGGTGCATGCTACTTATATCGATGTAAGTAGTATACCACGCGAGTTAAAAACGCAATGTCTGGCAGCAGAAGATGGGGGAGATCAAGAAAGGAAGAGCGACAACACAATGCAATTTGTAAGGAAACGCATGAACAATGAAATGTGAGATAATGGATTGATGTTTGCAACAGTAACGATCCAGGTTGATATGATGCATCGATATTTTGCAAATTAACGATTTACTATATGGTTTTTCTATTTTATCAAGTAACTCTCTAATTTTGTGCTAAATACAATTCGGTTGTTTTAACCTGTGTTCTCCTTCACTACAATATCACTTCCCGTAGGAGGTCCCAACCAATTCATCATCGTGTTAGAAGTATATTAGAAAATTTACCGCCAAACATGTTGAAGGTTTTTCCGTGAGAACGGTTGCACTTGATACATTTAGGCGTCAGCAAGAAACTAATTTCCTTATGGAAGGTTCTAGCCAACAGGCGACTAAAGCGGATAGATCGATCTATTTCTCATCTGTCAGTGTAGTCGTAGAGTTTTGCTGACAACACACGGCATGAGAATTCTAAAATAAGTTTCGCTCGTTGCGTGAAGTTTCTGTTTGAAAGTCAATTGAATGCAGGTTGTTTTTATTGTACCAAGGTCCTGTACTTCTTCATGATAAGTTACGATTAGCATTGTAGAGAGACTTCCGATGTTTATTATTATCAGTCTATTGTCACACCCATATTTGCACACTGTTTTATCAGACACTTCGCGTTAATGTGCATGACGCCTTATTGGGATACAAAATTTGTCACCGTAGGGATTACTTAGTCCATAATATGCATAGTTTAAAGTATGTTGTTAACGAAGTCATTGCACATTATTTTCGGATTCAATTTTTCTGTAGTAAGGACAGAAAACCTACCGCCTGTTATTTCCTTTTTCAGTATGCTCCTATGTGTCCAGTATTCTCTTGAATGAGTAAATTGAAGGTGAGGATACCACTGGCTTCCGGTAAAAAGTTCCAAGAATTGACGACTCGATGTGAAAACCTGTATGCCATGGGTATTTTGTTCGTTCGTGGATTTTTTACTCGCCTGATATGTTCTCTTCGACGTCCCGATCTAGTGGGAAGAAAAAGAGATGATATATTAGACCCTAAATTATTTGTTAGTATCCCATACATCGAAATCAGATCACCTCAACCTGCGGTAGGACAGAGTAAGGAGGTCTAGTTTTTCAAGCCACTCTTGTATGGTAAACCCCGGAGTTTCGAAATTACACAGGTAGCTGCCCTCTGTACCTTTTCCAAGATACCCGAGCCACCTTTTAAGCAGTGGCTTGCAGTCTGAACACAGTTGCTACGCTTATTTCTCATTGAGTTTATGTATAGTGTATTGAACATGGTAGTATCTTAATGGTGAATGTCTGTCTTAAAGCCGATCGAGTTCTAAACCCCTTAGCTGCAACCTCCCGGCAGTAAGGTGTGGTCTTAAGATCATGGCTCACTGTCACCTCAAGATCCTTGTGAGACCGGACTATGGGCACAGGAACTTCTCCCATGATTTACCTATTTATCTTTGCATCGACAAAGTGCATGTAAACACACTTTGCCGCTTCGATTGGCATCGGCCACTCCTTATATCAGCTAATCACAATATTTAAGCCTTCCTGGAATACACATGCATCTGCGTCTCTCGTTTTTTCTCGCCAGATTTCTACATCATCAGAGTATACTAATATCAATGACTCAACTATATTTGGGAGATCATTTACATACAGCAGAAAAAGTAAAGTATCTAGAACAGAACCTTGTAGTACTCTACTGAGTACTAGTTGGCAGGTGGAGCGCTTGGAATTTACTCCTAGTTTATGTTCACAATCTACCCGTAAATATCTAGGCTATTTTAAGAGGGATCCTGCAATACATAGATCTTTCAGCTTCAAAAGTAGTCTGTTTTAGCACCACATCGAATACTTTGCTGAAGTCTATGTAGACATCATCCGCTGATTTTCCAGTCCTCTTGATTTTCCATATCTGATGTGCTAAGAGCCTTAATTTCATCATCTCGATCGACCCCACGGTGAGTAGGTCGTTTGTTGACTTCGTATTTGGGTCTAGTTCTTCTTCAAAAAGAGGTTCCTGAGTGAAAACTGCACCAAAATATTTAGCTATAGCCATGGTAGTCTAGAATCCATTTCTGTATTCCTAATTGGTTGTTTAACCCTTGAACCTGAACCTGCCACCATCAGCAATTTGGTTGATGAACCTCGAGGTTCAACTGTTCAGTTGATCGTTCGCAACTAGATTGTTATTGAGCTTGGTTATTAACAATTTCGGGTTTCTGCAAGCACGATAAGTTCTCTTTGGAACTGATAACGGCCAATTATACTCAACACATGAAACTTTGACGACTAGGAGAGGAACAAGATGGAATTACACCTCGAAATTAGCACAAAAGTTGTTACCACAGTAGCTGAATCTGACCTTACATATGTTGCAATTTAGGTAGCTAAAAACATGACATTAAATCAGAGCTCAAAGGTTATGCAGAAGATAGTGTGTGAGCGATTATCGTCCGTGAAGAGATTTTAGCCCTACAATGAAATTTGACTATCCTTGTGACCGCATTAACAACTCAATTTTTTGAAATTCTTTCTCTGCTTCTGAATTCGACGGTCCTTGTTTTCTGTCGTGTAATTCTTTTTTATGATAACGTTTGTGCAGATTCTCGAGATGCTTATTCTGTCGTGCTTTGTATCATTCTCGGTATTTCCTTCGGAATTTTTCAAACGTCCAGGACGGTGTCTATGGCTGTCCTGTTTTCATTAGTGAATCCTCTACGTATATAGTTTGTGAGGCGTATCCATCTATCAACTTCTATAGCCACTTCATAAATGACCTACTGGTTTTCCTCTTGACCAACCTTCTTTTCCAGGTCTGTAGTTTCAGACATACACAAATGTTTTGCCCCTGTCTCATTAGAGCTCCTGTCGGTGAATTTTGTCGTGATGTTATGTTGTTAGGTGTACTCGTATATATGAGTAGAAGTCTGCGAATGACTTTTTAACAGTCAATTCCCTTCCGCTTTCAAGACAGCTCTTTTAAATGTGTAGCAAAAGCTCAGCCTGACTGTTTGGTTTTGGATGGTGCGGTAGAAAGCGAATGTGGACGATGACATTTCGATTGCAAAAATCGCCGAATTTGCGGGATGTGAATTGTGATCCCAGTCTCTGAACGTCCATGGCGCGCAAATATATTCCCCAATATTTCTAACGTTTACTGTGTCAATCGAGACAATACTGTATGTATTTCAGGTCACTTTGGGTATGCGTCTACTAATACTAAATAGCTTACTCCCTGCCATAAGACCTGCAAAATCCACATGCAATCTGAACCATGGATCTGTATTGACATTTGGCCTAACTAAACAATCTTTAAAGCTGAACATGATGGAACTTGGAAAATGCATATTCAACCATTATTACGAAACGGTCAGCAGTGGCGAGGAGGGAGAAATTAACAGAATTGGATTGAATGAATCGTCCCTTGAAGCGTCGAGTCTCTTCTCGTGGCATATGTTGCCTGGCAGACCATTATGTGTGGGGCTCTCACAGCATCCACGAAACTGTCGTTTGCGTAATCTGTCGTAGAAATAACAGCAAGGACAGAATCTTTGTCAACATTGGGGTAATTGCTTATCAAGTGTGATTAACTTCTGACTGAAGAAAATCTTCTGTCCAACGATAGTGATCGTCAAAATTATTTCTCAGCATCGATATCGCTCAATTCTGAAGTCGGTTTGCTAAGTACGCCGACACTATGAACTCCGAGCCAAAAACTCCCAGAAAGAGCTAACAACATGAAGTATCTACCATTAAACAATTTGTGGAAATGACATACAGAAAAGACGATTGTCAGCTCATGTTTTTCAAGTTGTTTATAACATTTCTCAGCAGGTGTTATTGATCTGAACGCATGCATTGCCGCATCTTCCATTCCGTTTAGAAATTTGTGAGTAACTACTACCCCTAAATCACACGCAGATGCATCTGCTGCAACTATTAATGGTATCCTTCGGTTATGCTCTTCAGCATAACTGCAGTTCAGCTATATAACTTTTCTGGAGATTTTAAAACTACGAGCATATCGTCTAACCAAACTGCTACACATATAGTACCGAATATTATGGTATTCAATAATTTTTGGATTATTGCTGGTACCGTCTGCAACCCAACGGCAGTCTGTTATACCAAAATGAATCACGATATATGTTTATTGTCAGGATTTCACTGCATGAAAAGCCATTCTCTACTTGCAGGTAGGCTTTGGCTGTGTCTAGTTCTGCGAAGTGGCTTTCACTGTTTAAGATATCAAGCCGATCATAGTGTACCATTTGGTTTCTTGGTGACTACTATTGGAGCTGCCCAAGCTAAGAATGAAACTGATGATAAAAAACCTTGCTTTTTAAAACGTTGGAGTTCAGCGTCCATATTTGTTAATCATGCACATGTGACTGGTTTTTTTACAGTAACACTGGGTTAGCATTTTCCCAAATGAAGATTTACTTTCATTGTAGTGCGGTGCTCCAAAATAGTTGCGAAATTGTCTGTTAATTTATTCATGATTTTTGTAACATACAGCCGCCCTTGATCTTTGCTTACAATTAAATAATAATAATTTATGCTCACTTAACAGTCTGTTGTATGAAGCATATCAGTTTACAGGCAAGATCGAATTGTTAAATACGTTTTGCAATGGAGCAATCTAAACATAATAAATGTAAGTTACCGTCTGTTATATATATTATATTCCAGTTGTAGTTATATCTTTGAATATTACTGTGCATGAGGTCATGTGACTGGGATGAACTTTACCTGGGACCGTTCGAATGTAGAACCTATTTCGACTATCGGAATGAACTGGGTCAGTATCGTGTAGGAGGTTTACTAATCGCTGATATTCTTCAGTAACTTCTCTGGGTGTTAACGTTGGGTCTCGATCAAGACGATGCAACAGTCGCGTACGAATATGAGCAAAGCCTTCAGATTGTAAACTACATTTAACTATTAATTATTTGGATTGGTCCTATCGATGTATTTGTTTTCAATCATTGGGTCTTCATAGCTAAACACATAATTGCTAAGATTCGCTCTCGACATATAACAATGGTGAACGTGGGAGCAGGTACTCGATATGGCATGTTACTTATCTCTTTTATTCATATTAAATATATCGCTCTACCTCCAGCCTAAAGTTGTTCTTCAGAAATACTAAGTATCATATTGTTAGTTAACACGATACGAT